GTGACCTTGATCTTTGACATCTGACCCTGAATTTCTAAAGAAACCGACTTCTCCTCATAAGGGATACATGTTCCAAATTTGATTAAGGTATACTGTCTTAGTCTCAATGCGTTTACAAGGTAATCATATAGTACTTATGCAAGTACTGTGACCTCTACATTCAATCCTCAAAATCATTACTATATCCTCTCCACATTGCCCAGGGATAACTGAAACTGTAATCCAAATGATAACTAATACCCCCCAACACCCACAGCCTTAGCTATCTCCCCATGGTGACCTTTTGCACAGAAACATCCTCTGAAACACAGCGGCATGTGCACGTTCCCTAACATTCATGCAAAGTTTTGTTGAAATTGGTCCACAGGTTTAGAAGTTGACTGACAAGCAAAACCCGTCTATATTGACCAGTTGCCATGGCAATCAATATTTCGAGGGAAAATGGTGCATGCACATCTACACATTGTCCTGAATATTACTGAAAAGTTTCATTGGAGTTGTCCAGACAAGATGTGTCTACAGACAGACAAACAGATGGATGGACTGATAGACAACCTGATTCCAGTTTACCCACCCTTTTGGTGGTATAAGAATGCACTAGAGTGCTTACAAATTCCATGTGGACAGACATTATGGAAAAATAATAATAATAATAATAATAATAAACATGATACAGATGCTTATATCTTGTTTTATTCAGTTTTTAGATACAGTATTCTTTCCATGCTTTGATCAGCAATGTAAATCTTGTCATGTCAATATCCTAGTACAAGATTGCATACACAAAATTGTTGTAGGTAAACTGTTAAGATACATAAAAAAATACATGCCTAAGTTTAAATGAAGGTTTTAAACAGAAGTCGTATTATGTTCAGTATACAGTGATTTTTCTAGACAATCGTAAACTATAAACTTGGTATACAGCGATCTTTTCTACACATTTGTAAACAACAAACTCAGTATGCGGTGATCTTTTCTACAAAAAGTTTTTTTTTATATATTGTATACACTAAACTCAGAAAAAAAAATTAAATAAGTAAACCTTTCTATGTACACTACAAACTCAGTATACAGTGATCCTTTCTACACAAACTTGGTGTAACTAGTGAATCTTTCTACTCAAGTAAATTGAAGATTGTATACAAATTTACTACAAATGCAGTATACAATGATCTTTTCCACATTTTTTTAGTTTCCACGATTTGTTGATTCTTCTTTTGTAATGGTAAATATACTGCCGCCTTTAGAAAGTACTGTGACATTAAAAGGCAACATGGTTGTTAGCATCTCCTCAAGTGATTAATCATCTTCAACATCTAATTGGAGGCCGGAAAGAAGGACGTTTTTCTCCACCATAAGGTCCTCAAATCCATTGTTGGTCACCATAGCCAATTCCAAGTTAGAAGAATCAATAGAGATAACTTCTACCATTCCAGATTTCATTTCTTCAGGGACATCCACTTGCTGAAAGAGTAAGGGAAATAAATACTATATTTCATTATTGCTATGATTATGTGCAAGAAATAATCACTTCTGTATAAGCTTATAGTCTTCCCAATAGGAGTCTATATTAATATACTGTCAAATTATTAAGCGATGGACAGCTAGCAAAATGATAATATCTTGACCATGGTCATACAGAGATTGAATCATAAAATTAAATTTGTGTGATAAATCTGTGCAGTATGATAATTTATTTTGACGTTTGTATTTCAAAAATCATTTTGACTTGAAAAGTAATGTGTAATTTAATTAATTACATTGGACCGTCATGTAATGGTTATTTAATTATTTTGAAAATACCTGTAATGGCAATGCCATTTTCATAATGTAATTGTAATTTAATTAATTACATCATCATGTAATTGAACCCATGCCTGTTACAAACAGTAGCTGTCCTAACAGATCCTAAAATTAACTTTGGCTACATCTATCACAAAATTAACTTTGGCTATGTCTATTACAAATGCCACATTTAGCTACAGTAGAGGTATTTCAAAAATGTACGTCATTGTAGCTGAAAGTACATAATTAATGGTTACTTAACCAGAACTACAGTTCTGAACAAACCACTACAAAGCCTGGTTATCTGTACTAAGACAATGTCCTCTCAATTAATCAATTTCATTGATTATCAACATCTCATTGTTGTACTTCCGGTCACTTGAGTTTCTTAAAGTTTCAATTTGACTTTTAATAAGGCCCAATGTGATAATACTGCAATGTCTTAATAAGCTCTCGAGGGGTATTGGTTAGACTATTTATCCCATTTCATTCCATTCACCATGGAAACAAAACTCTAAAATGCTTAAAAACAGTCGACAATTAATGACAAATATTGAGCCTAGGGCTGTGTAAAATTGATGAATCAAGTGTTGAACTGAAAGTTGGCTCAGTTGACATAATACTGAAATTTCTGAGATGAACAAATACAGTACATATATTAAAAGTACAGGCATAATAAGAATTGTACCAATGGGACCTAACACTTTGCTAGGTTTATCCTAATCTTCATTAAAACACTTTCCGGGATTCAGATCTTAATTGACATCTTCATTATTCCCAATCTTCATATTGTAATCGTTCACATGCATCACTCTTCAACAGAATCAACGAGACATCATGTCAGAAAGACAAAAACTAAATTTAAGCTAAAACTATATATATAAACTTCAATTGGCATAGCTGTAGAGTTCCCGTACGATTTCATACCCTGGACTTCGGGTACTTATAAATTATCTCCGATCAGAAATTTGAAAGAGCTAGATCTACAATAGCACGGGCAGTGACCGATATTTTAAAGTAAAATCGATATATTACACAGATAGATTCCTAGATCTATTCAAGGTAGCGTAAGTAGTACAGTACAATATTACGGATAAGTTTTTTTTCTGTTTAATTTCCGATCTGTTGGGCCACTCACGATCATTCAAAAATAAATTTATTTCAAAACACTGAAATACTTTACGGAAGCAACAAAAATGTGCTAGATGCTTACATAACATTTTTCAAATGCATACTGCTTCAAAGGAAAAGTCTTGAAAATATTTTGAAAAAAGTGCCATGGCGGCAGTGCCCAGCTTGCGCGTCGCCGTCGAGCCTAAATTCAATACATGCGATAGCTCATTTCAAATGAGTATTTTGCAAAAAATGCAATTGCTAGTTCAGTATAAATATTGACTTTAAATTTAGCTTATATATATAGTGATACTTACTTACATCAAATACCCGCCATCTTCTTTCTGCCGCCGTCTTCTTTCAGGGTCCAGCAGCAAAGAGCACCCCGGCTGTTTCCGTCAAAATTTTATGCTACTCTAAATCATTCTTATTTTAGTTTCATTCTTATTTTCAACTACATATTTCAGTATTTTCAAAAGTTTTCAACAGTATTAAACGGGATGAAAATTTTCGAACAAGAAAAAAAGAAGGATATATGACACCCACAATGCATCGCGCGGAAGAGAAAGTTAAGCCGCCATATTGGCATCGCCTCGCAAAATTTACCACCATAAAACGTGAGTCTTTGTCATTGTATGTACAAATTTCGGTGTCTTATTATCATTAATACACAACAAAAAACGTTTTCTTGATGTACAAGTAATGAAGAAAATGTCGATAAGGTTGCTTCATTTAATGACTAGCATCAGCAACTTGTAGGGGCGATAATCCAATGATTACGGTAATGTCCGGCAGATGGAGTAGGAGTAAACTTTCGATTTATGAACCAATGAAAATGAAGTACTGATACTCAGGGCCAGGGGCGACAGCAACATGCTGAAGAGCATCGAAATGCTCTTAGCATAAAAATGTTATATTCTTTTGAGTTGAATACCACTGAAGGAAAAGAAAACAAAACCGTTATTTTGACGAAAAACAGAACAGTTAGTTAAATGTTAACCCTTTTGTTCAATGCGTATCATAGGAAAGTTCAGGCAGGGCCATAGAGAAGTCATTTCCTACTAACAATAACATTTGAACATCATTATGTCGGAACATGTAGAACTCCAGAGGAAAAGCATGGTTGGATGAAGATCAAATTGGCTTTCTTTTTTTTTTTTTTTGTCATGCCATGTTTATCATTTATTGTCTAACCCACATGTTATTGATGAATTCACCTGAGGTCACTTATCATTGACTGTATCAGACAGAAACTGATTGGGACTTTACATAATAGAAAATGGAGTAACAAAGTGTCTGCATTGGATTTTGTTATCCATATTTTCATTGTCAACAAAAGTAACTTCTCTGAGTGATGTGATAAAATGTGATTTTATTTCATATCGGATGTTATGAAACTAGTCTTCAAGTCTTATTTTTTTCTCCCCACAGTTGATAAACATAAACACTTCTCAAATTTGTTTCATAAAATTTCATATGAAATGAAGATCTGTATAAAATCTATATACTTAATACAGAAGCCTAACGATTTGATTGGTCCCCCTTTCCCACCAAAAACCTTTAACAGAGCTGGTGATATGACCACCAATCAATGTCATCAAAAAATTCAAAATAACAACAAAATCACATATTAAAGAATTTAATGTTTATTTTACAGAATACTCACAATTCAAAATACTTAATGAATATAGATTTTAAAGAGAAGTTTACTCAAATAACAACAGATAATGTTGAGAGGAAATCAACACCTTCAGAAAATTGTAACTTTGTTAACAAATTCTACTGGCCTGTTCTTGAACAAAAATCCAAAACACACTTCCAGGGAAAAGTGCTAACTTTAATATGTGAGTGTATCTTGATTTGGTAGTAAGCACTTTCCATAATTTAGAGTTTTCAACAAAAAATATCATCTAAAAAAACGTTCTCATTAAACAGACAAAATTTAAATAATCTGAAAAGAAAATTTCAAATCTTACGGGACAGTGACATATCGATACATATTGATAAGAGATTGTAGACTTACCATTCATTATACTACTTTCACAAAATTTTTTTTTTCTTCTTTTTGAAAAAAAAAATAAAATCTTTAAGAAATGACATGTTACTTAACTTTAAAAGCCTATCTAAGATGTACATTTTATTAACAAAATATTTTGTTACTAATAAAATATAATATTTCCTCATTTCTTACATAAATTCAAAGACAGATAATTAGTCATAACTGAGAGGACATGTTGATTTTTATGGTAAATAAGAACACAGTCCAGGAGTTGTCAATATAATATCCAATACATACATACTGTTAGCAGGTAATACACATTTCATTCCTGCAGAAAAAAAAATTATCCTGCGCTACCCCAGGCTAAATTCAAACTCTTAACATCTGCAGTTATAAAAAAAGTCTATGATAGCAGTTACAGATTTAGAATAACACAAACTTTTTCATATTAGTTTCCTTTTCACAGCATAGATAAGATTTTATCTTAAATTTTCAGTTTTTTCATATAGAACCCTGGCTGACATGTTTAAGTGCATATAAACTGTTTCTTATAAAATCCAATATACAAATACTGATGAGCTGTCCTTGAAATATATTGACATGAAAAATTACCAAGTACTTAACAATAAAATTGGACATCTTGCCACGATGGATGATCAGTTTCAGTGGAAATGTTTACATCAGTACCACATTTATCCAGAAATAAGTCTAGGGTACAACTCATCACTTCTTATTCAAAGTTGTGGATGGTTTATTACAGGACACTGAAACAGTATTGATTCATAATTCTACTGAACAGCAATATTCATGGGTGGGCTTATTGACAGACATAGGTTTATTGTCAGATAAATATGATACTAATTGATTTACCATTTCTATGGAAGCTCACACATGATACATCTCATTTACACAAACTCTCATCAGGACATCAGTTATCAATTTTGGCAGGTATGATACAGCTGATATTACATCACACTGACATTTATGATAAATCTAATGACTAATAACTTTTAGATGGGTAACCACGCCTATACTGCAATAGGCCCTGGGGCAAAAACTATTACTTTTCACTCAAAGTCAAGGGATGGCCTTATCACAGGACATTGGTAAACTTTTAAACTGTGTATCAAATATTTATGGATAGCAGCACCATGTACTCGATCATGGTTGCAGAAATGGTTCTTAACAAGTCAAACCTTAATTCTAATATCAAGACAACAGCTCTCTAGAAGCTATACTTTGATTCAGAGAAAACCATAGGAAAAAAACAGAAAGTGGCTTTTTCTTCTTGTAGGGCAATTACAGGTTCAGAAATGAAAAAAAAAGGATATTAAGAAAGAGAAATTTAACCGTACTCGTGGCAAAAATGGTTCTTTGATAAAGTTTAACTGTTGATACTTATATACTAAATATGAAGCTAAATAATGATATGTATTTTATCAAACAAGACAAAATCTAAAATCACTAGGCACATTTTCGTTGAATTACATGTATTGTGAAACAAAATAATCTCAATGTATCTGTTATTGAAATTATACAACCTGACGACGAAGTCTTTTTTATGTCTACTGAAGAAGTCTAATTACAAAAAAAAAAAAGCAAAAAATGAAAAATATAACAAATATGGAAGTCCAATCTTTTTAATGTTTATTGTCATTGTCTGATTTATCTACATCCATGATTATAACTTTAACAAATAAACAAAAAAGATCATTTTCCATATTCAAACATGGACGACAAAATCTATTTTTGGGTGTGATCATATTGAAAAATTTGAAACTTTGCAATTTCAGTGGTGCAGTCTTTTTTGTGCAAGTTAAATGTCACTGCATTTTCTAACATTAATCTATAAGGAACATGAAAATTGTGCAGCTTGAATTTATCGTGATGACTGAAGCAAATACTGTAAGTTGAACAATACTCTATAAATACTGACAAAATATTCAAATCTTGGATACATAGATTCACAGTTTATGAAACAATACTTAATCAAAATATTACAGAAAAAAAACATTCATTATAAATCTTACTGCTTTTGATAAAATGTAAATATCACATAAAACCAGATGAATAAAGAACTTCCATTAATGCTGTCCCAGGCTACAAGACAGAGCACTATTGACCTTTAAATGTATGGGTTTTTTTTATTTTTCTTTTCATTCCATTTAAAACCCCAAAACAGGTTGTTTTCCCTAGCTAAAAATTATCAAAAAACCAAACTAATGGAAAAAAATCTCAAATATCTACTCAGCAATCAAGGAAAGTTTACTCTTATATTTCCTAATTTATATCGGTACAGGTTGCTGTATCATTTGTGTTGAGAAAGCAGTCATTTTCATTTCTTGTCTTTGATTTTCAGGATTTTTTCCCCCAATTTTTCGGGACACTGGGTTGGTAGCCCTACATCAAACCCAACTTTCTGACAAGAAATAGATAGTCCAAGAAAATAATCTCACAACAAAGTTTAAAGTTTGAGGGAAAACAACTTTTACAGACTTAAAAAGTATGACGTATCATCCCTGAAATCTAAATGTAAAGTTGAATATCTTGTTTGATCGACTTAATGAACTATCATTTGGCAGGGCTTGAGCAGACACATTCATCAAAATCCATACATACAATGTCTAAATGATTCTTCCTCAGTGAATTGTATATAAAGTCTTTCATTCTTGTTCACTTTAAATACCCTGGTACAAATAAAATCATGAATACCATATTGACTTGCATTCTATGTACAACTTCTTCATTCCTTCATTTACACATTGACAATAATCATATGTTATAAAACAATAATGCAACATCATTTTTTACATATAGGCAATAGATTTTAATAATAGTTCTTTTGGCAATCATTATTTATCAAATATTGATCATTTCTGACCATAAAGAATGATCAAACAATCAATATATAAATATAATTTGTACAGGTGCCTTTACATCTTCACAATTGTTCTCTTTTGGGAAATGGTCCACAGGCTTCATTTGTATTTTGTTTTTGTTTATTTAGTATTGAGTAATACTTCTCTAATCAATCATTTCTGTGCTGTACAATCCATCACAGGGTATCCCCATCAACTTATTCCATCTTTCCCAAACTCATAACTTCAATACATCAGAATAATTTCTGAAATTGAACTTCACTGCTCTAAACATTGGAATTTCCAAAGTTCCTCCTGCACTTTGCTTTAAGGTGACTCCTTACATGATAACAGAATTCTGTTATATATGTAATTTTAAGCATGTTGGCTTTGATACATGTAATTCAAACTTATTTTCACAGGCATAATTTCTTATAATTAAAAGAGGCTCAACAATATTTATTTGAACTAGTCTGACCGAAAGTGTTCCATACTGATTTCAGTGGAATATAAGATAGAACTTCAAAGGGTTCAAAAAATTAACATCTGGAGACAAAACATTTTAGAATTTAAAGACTTCAATTTTACATCTCTTGTGACTCATAATTACTTGAACCTGTTTTGATATATATATTATCCAAACCTTGTATTCTAAAATCAGCTGAGCTTAATTTGTTACCGAACACTTCTTAAAATGGTTCATCAATACTTTATACATGGCATGAACTTTGACTTCTATAAAGCACCTTTTATGGAAAATGTTTTAGTCCCAACTTTCAGCACTGTAATGAATGATGTTAGCTGGTTTATTGTCCCATGTAAAGACATCCCTGGCTGTTCACAAGGTGATGAACCCAGCAAACAATGGTCTACTCAATATTCAGGTACTATAAACTTCTCTATTAAAATTTCTATAACTTTTTATTCTTTAATCGTGATCTATCCCTCTCTAAATTGCTAATACAATTCGCCTGCACATCAAGTGCATGTGTAAAAAGTTTCCTTTACTTGGCTTTTAACCTTATTTTGCAAAATTTTCAGAACGGACGGACAAGAAATCAGAAAAAGTTGACGAATGGATGATGTGCCATGGCATTTTTGCCCATTGAGTCCGGTTTTTATTTACAAGTCCATTCTCCTGCAATGTATGTACATCAGCACTTAAGTTCAATAATCATGGAAATGTGAACACATTCCTGACAACGGTGAAGCAAGGCTTGGTAACCTAGCTGGCATGGTATATTGACAACACCAGAGAGGATCGCTGACAAAACACCCGGAATCAGCTTTACCAGTCATCCCATGTCAAAGCCAATTTTTGTACCACCTGCTCATCCAGTGCACCATTTTACTATAGTCACTAAATTGAGGTCCTAAACATACTTCATCATCTTCTTTTTAAGTTACTTGATAACCATTCCAAACCTTGGTAAAGTCTGAAAAGATTAAAAAAATTGTTTATTGGTACAAATCATAAAATTGCAAGATTTCACTTTGTCAGCAAGCACTACAGGAATACTTGTACAGGAGATCATGAAGTCCCCAGGTACTTATCTAATACTCAATTCTCCTAAGTAAGAAATTGTTAATTAGATACTCATTCTCTCCCAAATTAGGGATGATATAGTAAATACTCACTCCCCCACAGTAAGATATTCAGTGAATACTCATCCCTCCCAACTTTGAAAGAGCTATTTAGTAAGCAATCACCTTTCCCCAATAAGAGATTATTTGGTAAATAATGATCTCTCCCAATGAAAACATTGTATAGTAAATACTTGATTTCACCCCTTAAGAGATTATTTTGCCAATACTCACCTCTCCCAAGTAAGATATTAATTAGATAATAACTCTCTCTCTCTCATCAATAAGATGATCTAGTGTTAAATTTCTCACCCCTCCCAAGCAAGAGAATTTTTTTCGTAAATACCTACTCCTCCTCGGTAAGAAAATATTTTTGTAAATCTACTCCTCCCCAGTATGAAAATTTTTATAAATACTCACCCCTCCCCAGTGAGAGCACAGCAAGCCTGTATATGCCAGGCATGGTCTTTGACTGATGTCAGATTCAGGTGTTGTGATATTTCTGCTGCTGACATGGAACCCTTGATGTCTTGTTTGTTGGCAAACACTAGAACAGCTGCTTTCCTAAGATCCTGAAAATAATAAATATACACAAAGTGTTCTGAAAATAATATTAAGTTCAGGGTTTATCTTCATCAGTTTATAGAGGATAGTGTCTTCAGTAATAACAAACATATTTCACAAATGTGTTTAATACTTCAGTATCTCTTACGAGTTGGTTGAAATCAGCAAAGGTGTTAAGCAAGAAGACCCTTTGGGTCAATGACTTGAAAAAGTGTTATTTTTCAAAACAACACTTTTATCGATGGGATATTTCTCTACATTCCACTGACAAAATGTAAAAAATAGAAGTCCCTGTCTCAAGAATGTATTGAGAATATTTAATGGTTTCCCCTTTAATATCATATACATGTATATTTCAGATATATTTCAGTATGGAAGAACATCTATTGATATATTCTGCAACAAGAGTGAAAAATATATCATATTGAAGGGGAAAATATAAATTTTTTCTTTACACTTTTAAAGGAAAAACAAATGAAAAATGGAGATCCAAACATAAAATAAAGTGCTGCTCAGTAACGTGCTCTGATGTTAGATATTTTGCTGTTAAGCTGGACTACAAGACCCCCATTTTGAGCAGAATGCTCTGGTGTTGTATTCTTCCATATCACGCTTTTATCTGTTAAGAATTACTAACAAAACAATTTATATAAACCAATAAAGAAATGTACACAGTAATTGGAAAACCGACTTATTCAACCTACACTTGCCTAGCTTCTTCATTTTTTTTAACAGGAAAATCAGAGAATTTTATCACAGTGACTAGAAACCACTGCCCTCGTTGGTCAAAACCATGAAAGTTACATCATCTCAGGAAACGTGGTATCATCACTAGTGATGGTATCAGGTTTCTTATATCATCACATCAATTACGTGATTGTGTTCAGAGTGGAAATCAGGACTTTACTCCAATTATTTTTTTTTAGTAAGGTCCATGACCATGAACATACAAAATGTGTGTATCACATATAACCATTGCTAATTCCTGTAATAAGCCCACCACCTGACTTGAAGTCAGCAGTATGTCTTGATCCCCTGGGCTTAATGTAGAATACAGTACAATGGAGTGCTAATGACTGACCATTTAACATGACATATATTCTGTACAACATATGTTAGTCTAAAAATATAATTTAAGATTTCTGCTGAGTTAGCAAGAAAACTAACTGCAAATAAGCTATAAACATTATTTCTGTAGTCTTTTAATTCATTAGTTTGCCTAATCATAAACCTGATGGCTTACACTTCTGTAGACATACATTGTATATGTAAGTGGGTGACATTTTGACACAATGTTCAATCAGAGCCCATTATGATTACAAATATGTGATGATGAAATGCACAGATTACCTGAATTAATGTCTGTAGATATACCTGTCTGGTATGTAAACCCTGAGGCTAATCACCACTACTATCTCTGACATGTAAACGATATTAAGTGTAGGTTATGGATTGAAGGAAGTGACAATAGTTAAAATACCATGTTTATCGGTGATTTACCCTATATATATAGCCTGAGGCTTCAAACACATCACGATCACTTCTCTTCTGCTGATTAGAACTGCTGTGTACTTTAAATTTACTTTGTCATATACATTATGTATTTGAAGAAAATGTATAAAACTGCATGTTATTTGTATAAGTACCTTTCTATCTTTAAACTGCATGTTGTGTAAGTACCTATCTATCTTTAAACTGCATGTTATTTGTATAAGTACTATCTATCTTTAAACTGCATGTTATTTTTTATAAGTACCTACCTTTCTTTGATTTCCAATCTATGATCTAGCCATCACTCAATTTTATTCTCAATATGGAACTAATCTTATCATCATTTCAGTTACTTTTTGACCTGGGAAATTCCAAAATTCTCTATCTATAGCTGGTGTAAAAAGCTTTTCCAGGTACTTTATTGCTAAATCTCTTGATTTAACTCCCATTCTATGCACATATGAATATCTGCACTGACTAGTGTTGTTAATTTTTTATCTAAATTATACAAATATTTCCTATATCTTAGTGCTTCATCTGTAGTGACCTCAGAAGGCGAAGGACCTTTGTCTTAAAAGAGTCATGAAGTGGGCTAATCACTGGAAAAATTAGATAACTTAAAATACATTTTGTATGTGAGTAAATTCTAATAAGTAGCAATATGAATCATTAGGCATCATCACCTTAATGTAATGTAAATATCCTAAATATTTGCAGTTCAACTGCATTCATGTAACCATGAATGAAATATGTGTAACTTTAATAAGTAACTTACGTCATGATTGAGCATTTTATAGAGTTCTTCCTTGGTTATTGATAACCTCTCTCTGTCTGTGCTGTCAATCACCAGAATCACAAACTGTTAAAAAAAACAATTAAATTCATGATAGACTTTACATATTAAACATTTTAACAATTCTGACAGTAATAAAACAGGCATAAAAAGCTATCTCGCATATCAAAGAAAGGAATTTACATACGCCATAACTTGTTTTCACATTCCATATATAACACATGTATGCATAATAATGTTGAATATGAAATAAAATTAAATATTGCTTAAAACTAAATTTAAAATCGTTAGCATTTCAATAAATTGGCACACCTGTGGTAAAACTATGTAACTGATGTACATTTTTAACATCCCATCTGAAACTTTTTACAGTTATTGTGAGAGAACTAAACTTCACATCAATGTACACACAGGATACAAATTAAATGGAACACAAGCAGTATACATCTTGATCATCTAATTAATCAATACACATATTTTTTTTCCAACTTCATCTTGAGATTGTACAAAAGACATTACAAATAAAGAGTTAGATACAGTAAAGATATAGCTGTTTCATCCTTTAAGGACCTGTTACTGATGCCTAGGGCCTAAAGCTTGAGACCTTGGATAAATGACTGCAGGAAATCAAAGGGGATGAAAAAACCCATCAAAATCAAGATGGAGAGGTATACGAACCTCATAATTCAATAAATTTTGTAATCTTCATAAATCTGATAATTTCTTTTTCAAAGAACATCAAGTACATGGAGTAGCAATACATAAGACACAGTAAACAGAGATATGAAATGTTGTCTGGATAACTGAGGGGAAACATTAAATACAGACCTGTGCATTTGTGTAGTATGTATTCCACGATGACCGCAGTGTTTCCTGTCCACCTATATCCCACATTAAGAAGTGAATATTCTTCCACACCACTTCCTCCACATTACTGCCAATGGTTGGCGACGTGTGTACAACTTCATTCATTAAACTGTACATGATACAAATAAGATCACCATAACTTATAAAGACCTTTTACCTTATTTTTAAATACATTATAAATATATGATAAATGAAGAAATAAGGACAGTGTAGGCAAGTAAATTGTTAAATATTTGAGGCAATCTGCCCCTTTATCATGGTATAAAATAAGACACAAAATATTTCATCAATTACATCACATACATAGCACATAAAACATTTACAGCCTGTCTTTTGGCTTCTCTGAGTATCTTTAATGACTCAAAATGATAAAATTTAAAGTTGACTTGATTAGAAATCACTCACTAAAACAGTATCAGCTATTACATATGATCAAATCTTTGTGGATTTTTGTGGGAGAGAGCAGAGAACGTCCTACAAATTGTTGTTTTGGTCCCTGGCAAGGTTTTTCCCATTGAAGTTTGCAAATGTTTCATAAAAATTTTACTGTAAAAAGACCCTGGTCATCAACTGTATTCAGATATCATAAATATTATCAAACTATTCTAATATCATGTTAAGTTCCTACAGTTATATACACCTGTATATTGTGGTTGCTATGCTATTGTTTTATTCACCGATAGTGCCTTGAACACTGTTGCCTATCATCCTTAAGAGACTGAAAGATGGAAATATTGGGCTTCAGAATAAGATATCAAGTTCATTCAACACATTAAACAGAACTACATACTGTGTGTCTATAATTAATAACATCTGTCATCTCCATCTCCTTTGAGATGTATAAAGGGGACTCAAACAAAAGACTGATCTTTAAACATAAACAGGATAATCATGATGACTATTTGAGGATATCGTGTTACCAGATATTGTAACAGATAGAGTTGTCAATTTGGTGACCATATTTCCTTAATCAATTACAATCTTTTGGTGGCATATAATTTTTCCTCTAATTACCAAACGAATACATATAAAACTGGTTCTGGTCCTGATCCTCATGGCCTTTGACCTCTTATTTCATTTCTGCAACATCTCCACCCTTTCCATCTTTGAGCAGAAACAAAAAGATAGGAAATTGAGTATAGAATGGTAAAAGCTGCAGTATTTCAATGAAAGTAGATTGTGGGAGAAGAGGGTGAACTGCACTTCAGAGTCAGCATTTTAAACTCATGTGTATGAATGCAAACATGCGTCTACAAGTGTAGATCTACACACACATGTAATACAGATATTATACTTACAACTGATATAAAATAGTTGTCTTCCCTGCATTGTCTAGGCCCACAATAATTACTTTGTGTTCTGAAATTAAAAACGTAAAATCTTCATTAAAGCGTACTTCACACAATGTAACCATGTACAACTTACTGGCATTAGTATTGTGATTTAAATGTATCTAAATTATCTAGTCAGACCAAGTTTAGCTAACCATCATCTATAGTAGAAGTGTACAACTTAATAAGGAGTCTTCAAAATAGTATACACTCTAACCTGTATTAAACGGCCACTGTTGGGAAATTATGAAAGTGGCATTTATAAGGAGGTGGCTTCTTAATTGAGGTTCCTTATTTTCGAACCCAACTTGCGGCAATTTGCACATTGACACTTGAATACAGTACAGACCAATCTTTACTTTATGACACAACTATAAATACAAAAGAACAAAATTGAAAGGAAGGCATGTACAAGTTTTAATGAAGCTATTGAAAACTTCTTAATCGAACAACTGTAATGTTCTACCTGTAACTTCGCATGTGATTCAAGTCAAAACATTTTCTTCGTGGTTTGGTTTGTTAATGCAAAATTATTCCCAATAATTGTTAATATTTGTTTGAATATATTACATTTACAACCAAGAAAACGTAAACATAAAGTATTCATTCTTAATCTGCCTGCGTTTTCAATCAAACACTCGATGCCATGTCTAAACGACATCCACTAAAGACTAGTATCTAGAGTGGGCAAGAACTTTATAATGACGTCGCACAAAAAATGGCGGCGGAGCGGAAGCGCTCCAGTATTGTATTTATTGTTCTTACAACCTTCAAAAACGAACCACAGTGTTGTTTTTGCTTTCTATCCATTAAAATATTTCTTTATAAAATTTCTCATCCTAGTTGCCTGTTTCTGGGTTTTACTCTACTCCTCATTAATATTCATGACCTCAGGTCACGGATAGCCGCTCTCTATTCTAGCGATATGTTGATTTTACGAAGCTAAAACACTCGCAATGAAATTTGATCGACAAAAAACAAACTAAATGTGGTATTTTTGACAATGCATTTATTCTCTCTTAATGATCAATATTTTGTTCGATACAGAAACTTTCGATCCGATATATCTATCGAACGTAAAATACCGGTTTTCGATACATATCGAGTACCGGTACGGAGCCCTATCTTCAAGAGTTAAAGTTTTTCTTTTGCTGCTCATATTTCAAAGTGATTTTCCACAATAGTGATAATATGCCTGTATTGTGTATACCAGTGACGTAAATGAAATCAAACTCAATATAAAATGCATGGTGAATTGTGTTTATGTTCCATCAGCTCACCTGGCGAGAAAACGTGACTCGCAGTCAAGAAAACTTGTCAAATGACTTGTGGTCAAAACGGCTGTTTAAACGAGGTTCGATCGCGAGTTTGGGGACGAAAAGGGTGGCTGCTGGCCGCGTTAGACAGGTGGCCATCTAACTGAGGTGGCCGTTATGACAGGTTAGACTGTATTTGTTATAGTAATCTAGGGATCAATTCATCAATATTTAAGGAATGTATAGTAAATGTCTCCAGTTTATTGTAGTATAACCTTCAGTACCAATTCAAAGTCACTTAAATATATCCTTTGGCTGCTCATTGCAAACTGGAAACAATCTATTAATTTAAATAAAATTTGTACCAAATGTGACATGTAACACATACAGCTGTTTCCTTCAGATTTTAACTTTCTCAACATTGAGATAATCCTATTTAGTCCAATTTTCTTCAGATAAATCCAAATTTTTACTATATAATATATATGGTATATATTAAGATATTATCTTGATGCAATAAAACACTTTACATATGTATCTACCTGTCCACTTTTTGCAAATGATACCAAGATATATTGGAAAATTAGTAACAAAGACTATATGAAAATTCTACAACTAGATCTCCATCAACATCAGAAATGTCAGAGGACTGGCTACTAATTAAATTTCCAACAAAATTGATAAAAATCACTATATAATTATAAAGCAATCAACCTTTCATGGCAGAAGTTACCATCTCAAGGACCAAAATGGTGAGGAAAATTAGAACAGAAAATATTACCAGAGGAAAAGATTTAGGTGGAACAGTGGATAACAAACTACAATGCAGGACTGGGCACTGCAAGACCCTGCACATCTATATTGATGTATCTATATTTAAACTAATACTACTAAAGTACTAGGTATTAGTAAGACCATATTTGGAATATGAGGCACTACTGCAGAGAACCTGTTTAAATTCAAGGACTCACAACTTATTGGGAATGCTCACCCAGGAACAACAAAATTTGTACCAGGATGTAAAAAAAGCATCTCAAAATATAACAATGTCCAACATTGAAGTAAGCCAGGATGAGAGGGGGATATAATCATAACAGTGGTTTCAGTAATCAACAATTTATTAGATGAAAGAGTCACCTCTAATCTATTAACCTTTGATAAAACTGAAAGTACACAAGGGCACAATTACAAATTATACAAACACTGATATAACAAAAGAGTAAAGGAAAAAACCAATTTGTTGATGTGTGGAATAATCTAGAATATGTTGTTACTGCTAAAACCATTTTTGAGATTGAAAATTTGCTTTGATGAACATTTTAGTGATACGATCTATGATTTTATGATACAGAATGCAATAAGACTGTTTAATATATTTATAACACTGTTATTGACACTCCTATACAGAGTTGTTAAATATTTGTTAATATAGGCCTAGAAGTTTAAGCCTTTGCCAATCATTATTTAATCAAATTCAATTCAATTAAAAATCAAGAATTAAAGAGCAGTCACAACAAGCCCAGGACATGTATTTATTTATTGGTATGTCTTCCAAAAAGGACAGCATTGGCTCTTTCCTAGTATCTCAATTAAATCAAAAATAGACTTATTGCCATGCAATATGAAATAACAATAAAAAGAAATGGATGTTTATGATACAACTAAATAGCAATGGCTATGCCAGTGGGATTCAATTACAATATACTACCAGCTAATATCATGGCTTATTAACACTGTTTAAATATAGTATTATATATATTTACACATCTGTAGCTACATGGTGATGTATTTCAGGGTGTGGTGCAGACTAACCATCACTTAACAGTTATCAAGCTCTACTATTCAGTGTGACAAAGTGGTAGAAAGATCAGTTGACACTTTAATACTTCACCATGTACTGAGCAACCTAGATTATACAATTTTACACATTGTTCATTTGTATTCTGGGCCTTAACGGTTCAAATACACAGCAAAACGGGTCTACAAGCAAGTCCTGATTTATGACAGCAAAACATGACAATTTCTTTTTGTTTATACAAATATCCTTTTACAACGATTTCTTTCTGGTCAAATGAAGTTTTACAATGTTTTTCTTGGTGACTACATTATCTTGGAGACAGAAAATATATATAGCCGGGTATTATTCAGGAATTGTTGAAGAAGAAATTTAGACAATGGATAAAACATTTTCGTAGAATAATGGTGGTTTTCAAAGCACTATTATATAGTATCAATATTCTTATGAATCTAATATCATTTACTGATAGATACAAAAATGTTTTTTATGGTTGTTGGTTTCCTTGTAGTACCATTAATATGGTGTAAATCAATCACTGTCAGTTATGCATATGTCAATTAAATTTACTGTATAGCTGTGGCTTCAGGGTATCATACCTTCATATACCATATTTATCAGAATGATGTAAGCCCTTGACTGATAATCATCCAATGTCTGGTAATAAGCCCATGTCCAGCAACGAGTCTATGTCAGCCCATTATGACCACACAAGTATGTATCATAATATTCCCATGTCTGGTAATTTCCCAAGTTTGGTAATAAGCCCATGTCTGGCAATGAGCCTATGTCAGGTAATAAGTCCATTCATATCATTACACATTGCAATTCAACAGAATCACTTATAATGCTTTATATGTATATATAAAATGGTTAGATAACACTCTCAACTCCATAGCTTGTCTTAAAAAGAGTATATGGTAAAAATACATTAACCATATCATTTTCTGAAAATTTTGGTGCAATGCAGATGTGAATTGTTATTGGAATATAGGAATCAAGAAGTTCTGGTTTTGAATCTCTATTGAGAATATAACTGACATCACCAGAACATATACATATAGGTCAATCCATCATCATTAGTTTAAAGGCAACTTAAATATATTTACAAATATTGATGTATACAATAAAATAAAACCATACTCTACGAAAACTAATAATAAATGGAAATCAAATTCATGAACATGTTGATGATATGTAAATCTGTAACTTTAAATACATGGTACAAACCAAACACTTTATAGATGATGTATACAACAGCGAATTTGAAATTTTAATACATTTTTGATCAGACCAGTGTTACCCACAATTCACCGAAACAAAATTTCAAGTTCCAAACCAAGAGATTGTCACTGGCAGTGGTATAAGAATTTGGACCCAGAACAACTTTAAAACACATAATAAAGGACTTTTTTAGTGATACATTGGTGCATGATGACAAACAAGTTAAAGTCCAGGTACTGTAAATGACATTGTTCTTGTTCCATTTTTAAGATGATCATTGTATGCTACATTGTACATACAATGCAGTGTTAAAGGCGCCAATAAACTTTTATGACACAAAAGTAGATTCTTTTATGTAGAATCTAGAGCACAATGTTCTAAATTTTGATGATACCACTTAAAAGAAATAAAATGAGTTCTCAAGAACTGAGTTAGCCCCACAATGAAAGAATGAGTCCAGAACTCAAATATCTGCGTCCCAAAAACCACTGTTGTTTGAGATACAATTATATATATCATTCACACGTGCTTACAAAATTAATGTACCAGATTTAATCTATGGGACTGTATGTGAGCTGCACATTTAGAAGAACACAAAGAAGAACTAATTAAGTTATTTACTGTACAAAGATAAACTTCTATATGAAACAGTGAGGTCACTATTATTGTAATATAACTGTTCAAATGCCTCCGCTTTAGAAATAGAACCCCAGACCTCTGATTTACCAGCATATTATGTACTTATGTATTATGTGGTATGTATTTTCCTTGCTCAACCAACTGAACTATATAATGTTCTGTCTAATGTATAAGTGTATTTTAACTCAATCTACATCAGTTGCAGCAACATGAAAATTTCTTTGTGCGTTTACATGCATATTGTAGCAAGTACAATCTGAATTTGAGCTAGGGCTCTTAACAGTCATCTGACAAGCAATGAATGGACAGACAAAACCACAACATTTGCAAATGGCTGTCTGACAAATCAGATGCATTCAAATTTTGAACATTCCTTGAAAGTATTAGAAACTCGTGAATGGTAATGTGTTTATCACATAATATAAATGTCAGACAGCCTTTTGGTGTAGCATCATATCTCTCAACATCTTTAACATTCATTTCTTATGTGTTGCTGCTACATGTGGCAAATTTACTTACAAACAATTTCTTAAATAGCAGTCCTTAATTCATTGCTCATTCTAATTTTAGAATCCTCCTAATCTCTTTTGAGATTCCTCCTTGGGACTCATTCATATAAGACATTTGTCGGATGAGGGACATTGTCAAACATTTTATATCGGATGTTTGACAATGTCCCTTGTCAGACAAAGGAGTCCCAAGGTGGAATCCCAAAACTGAGTAGGTTACTCCCACACAAAGTGGAAATTATTTTTCCAAGATATACCACTCAATACTTTCATTTTAATGACAAAATGTTCCAGCTTCAAATTATAATATATTTAAACACAAGTCTTTTACTTTGTACTGGTAGAGATGGGGACAGGCTTGAGGGTAACTGGAGACTTAACATATACACTGTGTGTATATATTTTTCATGAGACGGATCTGGAACACTTTACAAAACTTACTAGTAATATAAAGTAATGACAGATTGGCATCAATCGAATATATATACATCAGTTTTCGTGTCTTCAAACCTAGAACCACAGCGTGTAAACACTGGCAGCCTACAGGCCTTAACACTATCGTTTCGCACTCACTGACTGTATTCTGAGTATAACGTTACTAATCAAACAAAACACTATGACAGTTATAGCTCCCGATTTAACAAATTTACACCTATGGCATTAACGGTCTTCAATAAATTTTGATAAAATCCGTCCATGCGATAAATTATCGTAAGTTCATTCATTCACAAACCAAATACCCTTAAGCAGTTGTCGGTAGCCGGTAGATTAACACGGACATTTTAAAGTCCGTACTCCCTTTCTCCAACTTACCTTCATTTGTGAAAAGATTCCAGAGTCTTGAGAACAGTAGGCCCATATTTTGAAAACAAAATGTGATAATCAATAAACAGAGGATAGTATAAAGTTTTAGGTATGATATCTACATAACATCATGCCAAAAAATTGTTATATGAACACAAAATCATCACAATTTCATAAATATCTGCCTCTGGTGACTCAAGCAAGCTGTTGACACGAGACACCGGATGTGATATTTTGCGCATGTGTCGAGGGAATACCATTTACATCCGGCGTAATGGAAATCACCCTTGCTCGATTCCAGAATTAAGTTAATTTAGACGATCGTTACCGTTCATCAACTGTTGACAATTTTCTAGAATGTGACGGATTGATGACAAGATGGAACAGAAATCAGAATACCTGTCCATGTAATATACTTGTGTGACAATTTAATGTAATGAAATAGTGACTAAGGCTGTGTAATAGCAGTTAAGTTGACTCATGTCGTCACTACAGAGTACTATTTGTGATAGAATACATGTAAAATCTGCTGAAAGGGTATTTTCTATTTATATTCAGAACCCAAAATTTAAGATTATGTGCTGAAATCCTTTAACTGTCATGCCAGCCTAAGTTATTTTCAAACCTATGATAATTATGAATAAAATGGACATAGTTTAGTAATATATTCAGGAGCCAACTTAGGATTTTGGGAGAAGATATCATTAACTAAATAGGCAATATTTTCTAGATTGAGTGGTATTGTCTCTTTTTTTCAAATAGCTCCCTCAAGACTTTGAACTACACCAATTTGAATTCTGCTTTTGAATTTTTCACTAATAAAGAATGAAAAGGAAATTTTTACTTGGTTTGAAAATAGCTGAAATAATACTGAAATGAAAAAAGGGGAAATGATCTTACTCGTGGGTCTTGATCAGCAGTATCTCAAATGTGAACCTCTGGCTTACTAATCTTTTTTCTTACACTCTACCAATTGAGCTAAAGACAATATCTCTCCAGGTGAGCTTATTTTGTCTAGTATTTTCTCTCTGGTCTCTGGCTAGTACAAACATGAGATGGTGGACTGTTCGTGTCACACTGATTTGTCATTGATTCATTTCTAAATGATTGGTGACCATTTCTAATATAAAAATATTGAGTGGAAGATACTTTATGAACCCTCACAAGATCTGGTTGAGATCTGCTTCTTATATAAGTTTCAAAATATCAGTGAGTGTTCAGACCTGATTGATGTTTGATGGTTAGAGTTCAGGTTGAAAAGGATGTAAATAGTTATAAGGCTAAATACTGATTTGGTAGATAAGTAAAACAAGAAATCTTGTTTACATTATTTTATTTAGCACATCTATCTTCGTCCTTAGTAAACAGGAAATATGCTATAATGCTATGAATTAAGCTATTATTTGTTTATTTATTTATTTATCAAGAAACCTGTGTGTGCCTTTTCCTTCCAAAGAAGAGGCTAACATTGTCTTTGGATCGTTGAGTGTAGACAAGGAGCCCAAAAGGGGAGGAGGAAAGAAAACCATGGTTGTTAAGGACAACCAACTCCATGTGTAAGGCTTGAACACTCTTTTATATGTTTGTAATATTGAGGAAATATTTGTTTTTGTTTGAAACTTATTTGAAAATAGATACATGTAGTTGCTGATCTGTGATCTGGAAATGAATATGCAGTGTAATACCATATTTTTCCTGTAAAATGTCTCTGTGGGAGCATAATTTGCATTAACTTTAACTCAAATTTCAGGACAATGAAGTAGCATTTGATAAAAGTTTGACTGAGCTGTTGTTAGTCCAAAGGGTTCAGAGACTATGTATCTGCAATTTCAATATTGGATATTGTCTGTGGCCAAGCAAAAAATAAAACCATTTACAGATAGTTAGATCTCTTCAAAGCTGTTGTTGCCATATCAGTAGATACAATAAAAAATGTAATTTTGGATATATTGTATTACTGATCATATGTCATGATACACGAAATATTCTTAGAGAACTACCTGGTATCTGGTACAGGTTAATCTCTTGTTCTTGGGGATTAGTTCACATGTTGTCAGTTCATTTAATACTAATAATGTTAGCTGAGAAATGATATACACATAACAATGTATTTGATGTTATGTACTAAAATTTACAATTATCCAAACTGCTTTCCTTTACACTATTTGATTTCTTATCTCTTTGTCTGTTTGATATACATATGTAGGTATAACTTCAATGTTCTTGTATACATGTTCATAAATGATAATGATAATATGTCTTATTTGAGAATCAGGATTCCAGGATTTGTTCCATTTATCAAATGCTAGCTAGTTTACTACTCATTTTTTGTTTTTGCAGCCATTTTGAAGCAAAGGAGGCTAGACTGTTACGTGTTAGCGTAAACTCCTTTTTTGAGTACTTGAATTTAGTTGTGCAAACTATGGATCAGTTTGGACCTCCTTTACCAGAAACCACATAGCAGATTAGATCAGGAGGACTGGACAAAATGACTGGACAGGAGATGAATGGACATTTGGAATCTTCGTTCCAGTTGACTATACATCATGGCAGCACTAGTACTCTACACACAAAAAGAAATCTCAGTGTAAACGATCCATATCAACCATAATAAGTCTGTTATTTCATCATCATGAGAAAATTTGCGTGGATATTAAAATTTTCTTTTCAATCATTTAACAACTATCCATTTCTTTTCTTGTGTATTCATCTGCAGGACAGAGATATTCAGGGTTGATTTAAAATTATCAAAATATTTCATTCTTACATGTCATTTTGATTGATCAAACTATGAAGACAGGAGAACCCTGTGCATATCAGTTCCATCTGGTAAATGTGTGTCGTGAATTGTGGAATAAATGCTGACCACCTGAACCATTTCAACTGGATTGCGCAAAAAACAGTCTAATATACATTTTGGAGTTAGATTATCTCCCCTAGACCATATACTGTGTAATCATGCCACGCCCACACTAATACAACCTACGTAAACAACGATATACTACATGTAAATTTTCCCTGGTGACTTTTCATGTCTTTTGTAAGGTGTCATACAGTTCACACATCACTTCACCTTTTTGTCCTTGTTGATACATCATATTGTGATGATTTTTTATTTCACTGAAACTTTTATTCTTGAACAAAAAAGATTGGCACTATAAGACTTCTGTTATATACTACTACAGACCAGACTGGCATGCAGATCTGGAAAGCATTCAACAAGTCCACTATGTTTAAACCTTCTATCTTTTCTTTTTCATGCTGTGATTTAATTTACACAGGAATAGATAAACATTTGTATGTTCTGTAAATGTGAATTATTTTTAAAAAGCATGAATATATTTATTTCTAAGGAAAAAAATAATTATGCTATATTAAGATGGTTCTTATAACATCAATATCTGAATCTTTAGTTTTCTTTTTTCCTGACAAGTAACTTTTTAGAGCATGTTATGTTTTTTTGTTACTGGATTCATCAGATACAAAATAATGCCGTTATGCTGTACAGTTATGGTTGATTCTTGGACTTTTGCATGTCATGTAAATTCCTTTTAAAAGTGACACAAACAGAGTATGCACATGTACAAGACATTCTTTTGAAATCTCATTCGATATTGAAAACTTTTTTTATTCTTAATTCAAGGATTATCCACATCTGCATCTGTTTTTTAAGAAAAAAATTTGACCAATTTCAATTTCTCTCTGTCACTTTCTAGGTTTCAACAATTTTGGCTCATAGCATCACTGACAAGTTGTGGAAGGGTGATGCAGTTTGCGACTATACTGTATCTAATTCAAAACTTAGCTAAAAAGGGTAGAGCCAACTTGAGTTTCAATTGAGTTGGTTGATAAGTGGGGCACTGCACATTGGGTTTGGGTACTGAAAGGTATGCAGGGCAATGAAATATCAAAATTAATCCAAGTAAGTTTCAATCACAATACACACCAAGCTTCCATCAGTGAGTTGGATTAATGGGCTGACTAGTTTCATCTCTGATGCGAGGCTTAATTAGGCCCTGATAAAGCCTTGCTTCAGAGTTGAAACTAGCCCTGATGAAGCCTCACGTCCAAGGCGAAACGAGTCCAACATCACTGGTGACACTTGGTGTTTGTTGATGCAGAAACTTCGTTGGATTAACTCTAAATTTGTATTTAAAGGTGCTATTGAATTGCGTGTCTTTGTACAATATTCTAACACTGCTTATTGATGTCAGTTTGATCTGAACCATATGATTTTAAATTTTTTTCTATGTACCGTTTTTATTGCTCCAAATTTTTACTCATTTTGCTTCTTCTATCGTAATATATTCAGTTATGTACAAGTGTGTTTTAAGACTGATATGACTTTAGGGATGTTTCAACTGGTTTCTTGAAACAATCAGGCCCTTCCTTGTCTTTTTTGAAGAGTTTAATGTTTAAAATGTTTGAATAAAGAATACATTTTTGATATGAACATTTTCATCAATTATTTGTTTTGAAATAACTTAGGATCAATTGTAAATTGAGCATTAAAATACTAAATATTGATGTAATAGTAATATAGTATAGAAAGGCCACATTTATATAATAAATATTTGTCTAAAAAGACAACCTCTTTGAAATCAATACCTGTCAACAAAGACCATCTTTATATGATAAATACCTGTCTATGCAAAAACGTAAATCACCTCTGTATTATAAATACATGTTTTGAAAGGCCACCTTTATACAATCAACACCTGTCTATAAAGGTCACTGGTTTTGTGTCCTACTTTACACCACACACACATATATTTATATATCAATTTAGCCTCAATATAAAGGCCATTTTTCTCTGTTTCCTTGGAAAATGGATAACTTAACCTGGAGATTTCTCAAAATATATTTTATAAACAGATAAATTGATATTGACTGGCAAATTAATTAACAACACAGTTGTCAAATTAGAAAGAATTTATGTTTGATTATACTTTAATGTAAAACAATATTAAAATGTAAATGTGCCGAATAGACTATTTGCTGACAAGCATTTACCATCACAGCACCTGGAAAGGATTCAACGTCTATCATCACTATTGTCATTTGAAATCTCTACAAATTAGATACAAAATTGATATACAATTTTGTGTATAAGTATAGTATTTACATCAAAAGAATGGTTTTAATTCCACATTAAATGGCAGGGTATTTATGTTTTCCAGAATGGATTTATATCCTTCAAGCATTTTTAGCTCACCTGGCCCAAAAGTGAGCTGATGGCATACTGCGGTGTCCGGTGTCCAACCATCAGCTAAAAATTGCTACTAGTCATAAACAACTTACCAAATTTAGTCAAAAGTATCCCTATGGGAAGGAAAACAGATTTTGCATAAATGTTGGGTTTAGGCCTCTATGGGCCTGAGTTGTAGGGCCCAAAAGGGGAAATTTAAAAATCCTACAGGAATGATTGAAAATTGCCTAGATTTAGTTGGAAGCATTGTTGGCTGAAGGGGTATCAATTTTGTATCAAGGGAGGGTCTCAATCTTTTGAAGCTGGAGCGGCTGACCACAATACAGGGAATTGTGCAAATTTCTTTATAATCCTACTCCTGCTCTAGGAATGATTGGATTTTGCCCAAATTTGGTCTCAAGCATTGTTTTGGGAATGGAAATCAATTTTGTATAAACGATGGGTCTATTTTTTGAAAGTTTCACAAGGGAAATCACTTGTACTTTGATTGTAAGTATGGTGTGAATGTATGCTTAGATTATTACAATTTTTAGAACAGTTCTAGAAATGTTTTGGCTATGACTTGAAAGCGGTAAGATGGTAAGTATATACCAGTGACAACTAATATACTACATGATTAGGGTAAAAATAAAATAACATGTATATAGATTGGTATGTTAACTGTATAATCCTCCCAGTGCTGTCTACATTCAAGAAAAAACACCAACACACAGAGATAGTACCCACATCATCACCAACACACAGAGAGAGCACCCACAGCATCACCAAAACATAAAGATAGCACTCACAGCATCACCAACACACATAGATAGCACCCACTGCATCACCAACACAGAGATAGCACTCACAGCATCACCAACACACAGAGATAGCACCCACAGCATCACCAACACACATAGATAGCATCACCAACACACAGAGATAGCACCCACATCATCCCCAACACACATAGACAGTACCAACAGCATCACCAACACATAGAGATAGCACTCACAGCATCACCAACACACATAGATAGCACCCACAGCATTGCATCACCAACACACAGAGACAGCACCCACAGCATCACCAACACACAGAGATAGCCCCCACATCATCACCAACACACAGAGATAGCACCCACAGTATCACTAAAACAGATATAACACCCACAGCATCACCAACACACAGAGATAGCACCCACAGCATCACCAACACACAGAGATAGCACCCACAGCATCACCAACACACAGAGATAGCACCAACACACAGAGATAGCACCCACTGTATCACCAACACACAGAGATAGCACCAACACACAGAGAGAGCACCCACAGCATCACCAACACACAGAGATAGCACCCACAGCATCACCAACACACAGAGATAGCACCCACAGCATCACCAACACACATAGATAGCACCCACAGTATCACTAACACACAGAGATAGCACCCACAGCATCACCAACACACAGAGATAGCCCCCACAGCATCACCAAGACACAGAGATAACACACACAGGATCTCTAACACATATAGCACCCACAGCATCGGCAACACATAGAGATAACACCAACACACACAGATAGCACCAACAGCATCACCAACACACAGAGATAGCATCAACACACAGAGATAGCACCCAAAGCATCACCAACACACAGAGACAGCACCCACAGCATCACCAACACATAGAGATAGCACTCACAGCATCACCAACACACATAGATAGCACCCACAGCACCACCAACAAACATAAATAGAACCCACAGCATCACCAACACACACAGATAGCACCAACAGCATCACCAACACACAGAGATAGCATCAACACACAGAGATAGCACCCACAGCATCACCACACACCGAGATAGCACCTACAGCATCACCAACACACAAAGATAGCACCCACATCATCACCAACACACATAGATAGCACCCACAGCATCACCAACACACAGAGACAGCACCCACAGCATCACCAACACACAGAGATAGCACCCACAGCATCAACACACAGATAGCACAACTCACCAACACACAAAGATAGCACCCACATCATCACCAGCACACATAGATAGCACCCACAGCATCACCAACACACATAGGTAACACCCACAGCATCATCAACACACAGAGATAGCACCAACAGCATCACCAACACACATACAACAACAATGTACTTCTATAGTGATATAGAGTTACTTCCCTTTGTTTTTACTTCTGCAGGCAAATTTAGATTATATTCAAATTCGAACTTGTAATACATATATATAAAACAATAATAAACTTTGGTTTTTAAGATGAATCAATAAGCTGTCTTGCGTCTCTTTGAAAGTAAGTGTTAATATTGTAAAAAATGTTATCACTATGATGATTATCTGCAATGCTTTGTCATTAATAACGACTATATAAGCCACAACAGAACAATACAATACGTATTATCGGGTGGCGCAGTAACAACGCACTCACCAAGCTGGGCGTCCGTGGTTCGATTCCCGGAACCAAAGTGAAAAGGTATGTGATCACTTGTCCGGCCTTGTGGGTTTTCTCCGGGTAATCCGGTTTCCTCTCATACTAAGACCCCTCGAGCTCGGGTGCCAGTCAGGCCAAATAAAGTGATTAACATCAATTTAGATATCTTGTTTCGCAATAAAGCAAAAGTGTGTACGTGTTTCACTGTCTTTTCACCTATCCACGGACTTAATAATTTGTATAAAGTGAAAAAAACTCCAAAAAACTGGTGTGTGCTGCCGAAAAATGGTGCCAACGGCGGTGCTTAAACCTCCCCATATCATTATACTTAAAAGTAGCCATGTTGGCAGACGCGGTGTACGTAGTCTGCGCTCACTCAGTTTTCACATTCTTCGGCTTGCCTCGCCTTGTTTAAGTTGATTATTTTGTCATTTTGGTCCCGTGAAAGGACTTCACGTTATGAGTTGTGCAATGCAATCCCAAGTGGTCGTTGTACGCGATGCTGTCCGCTCTGGGGAGGTCGGTTGCTGATGAACGATTCAAACAAAACTTAGTAGTGACGTTGTGACTCACCAGCGTTGGTATACATTAGAATGTTTGAAATCTCCCGCCAATCAGGTGTAAAGTAACTGAAATGTTTCAGAAACCTAATTATATTTTTAGAATGTAATTTATTGTTGTTATCTTATATGTTCAATGACAGTAAATGTCTTCTTTTCATTTTCATACATTTGGAGGTATCGGCAAGGATACGTTGTAGTGTTATCTGCATATAATACCATCACAATTCTCAATCTATCGATACATTTTCCCCTTTGTTGACTGACACATGCCTGTGTTTATCGTTCTACATTTTGGACAGATAGATATAGTTTAAACACATTTCTTTCAACAAAGTTGTAAATGGATTGGGCACAAGTTATTTCAACTTATAAAACGCCCTCTCCAAAATACAAATAAATACAATGTACATAATACAATTATGACAATGCGTATTTCAAATCAACAACAAATTACTACTTCTAAAGAGAGAGTGGGGAAGTAAGGGAGAGGGAGAGAGAGAAGGAAATGGATGGGGAAGAAGAGAGAGAGGTGGGGGAGAGTAAATAAGTTACATCGAATTTAAATATTGAAAATGGCATGAAACGTTATACTCAAAACCTGCTATTGGACTTTAAAAAGTGCTGAACACATAAGAAATTTCACAGTTTGTATCATGCGACAAATCTTGGTCATCAAATAAAAGCAAGTCTAAATCACAAGGAACCTGCAAATCTGAGTCGTTTAAATTCTGAAAGAGAATATTTCTTTCGGTATCAAAACGACCATATACAAAGAAAAAGTGATAGGCATTCTCACAAATATGTCCACATGTGCAGCTAGGGGTTTCCACAAGGCTCAAACGGAATAAGTCGTGATTCAAAGAACTATACTGGTGTCTAAGCTTCGTGAGGATAATATCAAGTTTGCGGTCGCCAATGCCAAATTGAGAAGGAGGAGAAATTTGATAACTAGGTTTGAGTGAACTTTTGAAAATACTTAAACCTAGTCAATGATCTTACAGAGTTTTCAAGAGAATTCCAAGAACTAATGGTTGACGGAAAGAAAGGGGAGCTCGTTAAAGTTAATCTACTATATGGTACTCTGTAATCGTTTGTGTTTCTTAAAGGATATCGAACATCGTCTTGGATAAAGGAGGGAAGTCAAGAGGAAAGATAATCCGGTGTTTGATTATTACGTATCGTATACAAAAAACTGAAGATTTCTTCTCTTTCGTCTAGTCG